AACTTTCAAAGCAGAATTACTTTACCATTATTCCTCAACTGCAGTGTATGATATACAATTTTCTAGCTCTGAGTCTCTACTTTTATCCAATGTAAAAAACACAATTTTAAATGTTGCTACATATGACCGAATCGAGGTGGTGGGTCACATATATATTTTTAAGACACACATTTTCTCCCCCGCTCCTGACGGCATGTGCTGCTTCGCTCTGGATAAGAGCGTCTGCTAAATGATGTAAATGTAAATGCTGCTGCTTCAGGTAGGAGGGGTGTTGCCTAGGCAACCGAATACTTGTTTGCTACAACACCTTGCTTGTTTCAGCAAGGAGCAACAAAGTTTCATGTTGTAGAGTCCATGTTACAGCAGAAACGGACTCAACCGCACAAATGCCGGGCCGTCCTGTCTTCAGTCAGCTATTCGTTCCACACACACAAAAAATATCTATATGCGCTGAGTGTACAAAACATAAGGAACACCATCCTAATATTGAGTTGTACCACCTCCCCTTTTGCCCTCAGAACAGCCTAAATTCGTTGGGGCATGGACTCTACAAGGTGTCGAAAGCGTTCCACAGGGATGCTGGCCCATATTGACTCCAATGTTCCCACAGTTGTGTCAAGTTGGCTGGATGTCCTTTGGGTGGTGGACCATTCTTGATACACACGGGAAACTGTTGAGTGTGACAAACTAGCAGCGTTGCAGTTCTTGAGACACTCAAATCGGTGCGCCTGGCACCTACTACCATACTCCGTTCAAAGGCACTTAAATATTTTGTTTTGTCCATACACCCTCTGAATGGCACACATACACTATCCATGTCTCAATTGTCTCAAGGCTTAATAATCCTTCTTTAACCTGTCTCCTCCCCTTCGTCTACACTGATTGAAGTGGATTTAACAAGTGACATCAATAAGGGATCATAGCTTTCACCTGGATTCACCTGGTCAGTCTATGTCATGGAAAGAGCAAGTGTTCCTAATGTTTGTACAATCAGTGTATATATACAGTTGAAGTCAGAAGTTTACATACACCTTAGCCAAATACATTTAAACTCAGTTGTTCACAATTCCTGACATTTAATATTAGTAAAAATGCCCTGTCTTAGGTCAGTTAGGATCACCACTTTATTTTAAGAAATGTCAGAATAATAGTAGAGAGAATTACTTCCCAGTGGGTCAGAAGTTTACATACACTCAATTAGTATTTGGTAGCATTGCCTTTAAATTGTTTAACTTGGGTCAAACGTTTCGGGTAGCCTTCCACAAGCTTCCCACACACAATAAGTTGGGAGAATTTTGGCCCATTCCTCCTGACAGAGCTGGTGTAACTGAGGCAGGTTTGTAGGCCTCCTTGCTCGCACACGCTTTTACAGTTCTGCCCACAAATGTTCTATAGGATTGAGGTCAGGGCTTTGTGATGGCCACTCCAATACCTTGACTTTGTTGTCCTTTAAGCCATTTTGCCTCAACTTTGGAAGTATGCTTGGGGTCATTGTCCATTTGGAAGACCCATATGCGTCCAAGCTTTAACTTCCTGACTGATGTCTTGAGATGTTGCTTCAATATATCCACATAATTTTCCTTCCTCATGATGCCATCTATTTTGTGAAGTGCACCAGTCCCTCCTGCAGCAAAGCACCCCCACAGCATGACGCTGCCACCCCCGTGCTTCAAGGTTGGGATGGTATTCTTCGGCTTGCAAGCTACCCCCTTTTTCCTCCAAACATAACGATGGTCATTATGGCCTAACAGTTCTATTTTTGTTTCATCAGACTTACTTGCGTTCTATTGTTTGGACAGATGAACGTGGTACCTTCAGGCGTTTGGAAATTGCTCCCAAGGATGAACCAGACTTGTGGAGGTCTACACATGTTTTTCTGAGGTCTTGGCTGATTTCTTTTGATTTTCCCATGATGTCAAGCAAAGAGATACTGAGTTTGAAGGTAGGCCTTGAAATACATCCACAGGTACACCTCCAATTGACTCAAATTATGTCAATTAGCCTATCAGAAGCTTCTAAAGCCATGACATCATTTTCTGGAATTTTCCAAGCTGTTTAAAGGCACAGTCAACTTAGTGTATGTAAACGTCTGACCCACTGGAATTGTGATACAGTGAAATAATCTGTCTGTAAACAATTCTTGGAAAAATTACTTGTGTCATGCACAAAGTAGATGTCCGAAACGACTTGCGAAAACTATAGTTTGTTAACAAGAAATTTGTGGATTGGTTGAAAAACTAATTTGAATGACTCCAACCTAAGTGTATGTAAACTTCCGACTTCAACTGTACAGTAAACAGCCTTTGGAAAGTATTCAGACCCCTTGACTTTTTCCACATTTTGTTAGGTTACAGCCTCATTCTAAAATTGATTGTATTGTTTTTCCCCCTCATCAATCTACACACAATACCCCATAATGACAAAGCAAAAACAAGTTTTTCGAATCATTTAAAAAAAATCTAATTTACATAAGTATTCAGACCCTTTACTCAGTACTTTGTTGAAGCACCTTTGGCAGCGATTACAGCCTCGAGTCTTCTTGTGTATGACTCTACAAGCTTGGCTCACCTGTATTTGGGGAGTTTCTCCCATTCTTCTCTGCAGATCCTCTCAAGCTCTGTCAGGTTGGATGGGCAACGTTGCTGCACAGCTATTTTCAGTTCTTTCCAGAGATTTTAGATCAGGTTCAAGTCCGGGCTCTGGCTGGGCCACCCAAGGACATTCAGAGACTTGTCCTGAAGCCAATCCTGCATTGTCTTGGCTGTGTGCTTAGGGTTGTTGTCCCAGTCTGAGGTCCTGAGCACTCTGAAGCAGGTTTTCATCAAGGATCTCTCTGTACTTTGCTCCGTTCATCTCTGCCTCGATCCTGACTAGTCTCCCAGTCCCTGCCGCTGAAAAACATGCCCACAGCATGATGCTGCCACCACCATGCTTCACCGTAGGGATGGTGCCAGGTTTCCTCCAGACGTGATGCTTGGCATTCAGGCCAAAGAGTTGATATTGGTTTCATCAGACCAGAGAGAATCTGAGAGTCCTTTAGGTAACTTTTGGCAAACTCCAAGCGGGCTGTCATGTGTCTTTTACTGAGGAGTGGCTTCCATTTGGCCACTTTACCATAAAGGCCTGATTGGTGGAGTGCTGCAGAGATGGGAGAACCTTCCAGAAGAACAACCATCTCCACAGAGGAACTCTAGAGCTCTGTCAGAGTGGCCATCGGGTTCTTGGTCACCTCCCTGACCAAGGTTCTTCTCCCCCGATTGCTTAGTTTGGCCTGGCAGCCAGCTCTAGGAAGAATCTTGGTGGTTCCAAACTTCTTCCATTTAAGAATGATGGAGGCCACTGTGTTCTTGGGGACTTTCAATGCTGCAGACATTTTTTGGTACCCTTCCCAAGATCTGTGCCCCGATACAATCCTGTCTTGGAGCTCTACGGACAATTCCTTCGACCTCATGGCTTGGTTTTTGCTCTGACATGCACTGTCAACTGTGGAACCTTATATAGACAGGTGTATGCCTTTCCAAATCATGTCCAATCAATTGAATTTACTACAGGTGGACTCCAATCAAGTTGTAGAAACATCTCAAGGATGATCAATGGAAACAGGATGCACCTGAGCTTTAATTTTTTATCTTATAGCAAAGGGTCTGAATACTTATGTAAATAAGGTATTTCTGTGTTTTATTTTTATTACATTTGCAAACATTTCAAAAAACCTGTTTTCGCTTTGTCATTATGGGGCATTGTGTGTAGACTTCTGAGGATGTAAAAAAAAAAAAGATTTTAGAATAAGGCTATAACGTAACGAAATGTGGAAAAAGTCAAGGGGTCTGAATACTTTCCGAAATCACTGTATAATAAATATATATACTACTGTTCAAAAGTTTGGGCTCACTTAGAAATTTGGGGACCAGAGAACTTGTCATGGAAATTCTAATCAATAATGAGAGACAAGGTCAATCACCAATCAGGATATTACTTTATTCAAAACGTATTAATAGGGTAGCAAATGAGGCTGGTCATCCCAACACTCTTGAGTGTTGGGCCGAGATCTCTGAAATACAGACAATACAAAGATCTTTTATAGCAAAGATATACCCTCTCAGTTTACATGACAAACAGCAAATGTGTGGAATGGGTCAAAATGTTAGGATTTGTAAGAAATAAATGAATAATTCACAGCAGACAGTATCTGCGGTGAAGACTGTTTTATTGTATGGCAACCAGGGTTTGGCCCCCAAGACAAGGTTCCTCTCATCATTATCCATACCCGAGCCATCTCTCCCTGGTACCTTACATTACACAAACACCAACTCATTCTATGGAATGCATGCTGTAGGTTTTATCACCAAACCATTAATAAATCAATTGTCAGCTCCAGCTTCAGAGGCGCCTCTCAGTTCACACAGACACAGATGAGAGAGTTCTAAGAACCCTATTTTATTGCATAAAACAACAATTCAATGCATAAACAGTATTAAACATAATCTTGTAATATTTCTACCAGAAAACTCTTTTCTAAATTCATTGTTAGTACCAACTCTGAGAGGTGATGTGAGACCATGGATGTGTGTGCCAAAGCTTCACTTTGTGACCCTGCACCTATTTGCCAATCATCTAAGTAGTTCAGGACCCCAGCTCCTGCTTGGCGAAGTGGACTAGCGCTGCGCTTATGCACTTTGTGTTCTTTTCTGTGTGCTGGTAGAATGGGGATATGGAAGTATGCATCTTTCAGGTCCACTGCGGTGAACCAATCACCTGCTTGGACTGACTGAAGGATGGTTTTGATTGTCAGCATTTTGAAGGGAAATGCTGAAAGATGGCGATTCCGGCACCTTTGGTCCAGGATCTTGACGGAGGCCTCTGCCCTTTTTTGGCACCAGAAAATGGATTGAGTATAACCCGTAGTTTTGTTGTGCTGGTTCTACATGTACGTGTTCGATTGCATGTTTTTCCCCCAAGAGGCTCTGCTTGCTGTGGTGCAGAGGGGACATGGCCTGCATATGGTGCGCCTCTGCCTCTTGGGGGATGCTGTGCTCCACCACTTCGGTAGAGCTGAGAGTGTCTGTTCCTCTACTCCTCAGCAGGTGCAGGGTGAGTGATCCTAGTTTTTTTGGCATCCCAGTTGGAGCCCTTGGACGGGAGTAATGGTTTGCTGGCTGATGCATTTTAGGCTTTGAAATGAGGCGCTGAAGTTCCATCTGTGCTTCTCTGTCCTCCTTAGACACTTGGAGGAGGTGGGCCGCTGCTGGGCCAAATGTCTGGCCAGGTGATATGTGTACACCTAGGAGTGGATCCTTCTCTTTGTCAGGGAGCTGAAGAACTGAATTCATCAAACTTGGATGTGGACACCATGGCAGTAGGTGCATGTTCGACATTGAGGTTCCTGCTTGCCCTCTCAAAGATTTTAGACAAGGATATTTTCTGGTCAACCGTCACTGCCAGGCTGGCAGGCTGGGACTGGACGATGCTAGAGCTGTGGGACATATCACCATCAGAGTGATCATAGTCTGTGTCATTAGAGTGGGAGGCTCTTGTGGACAGTATGTCAGTGTCATCCGATTCAACAACCACGCTCCGTTCAGAGTTAGGGGTTGGGTTTGGTACCTGGCTAGGATGTGCTCGAGGGCAGACTCAAAGGATGCCATACGACTGTCCAGTGACTTAATCTCCTTCTGCATCTCAGTGCGTCGAGATTTGTGCCCAGGCGAGGATGAGCGATGGCGTTTATTGGGCGGTGGATCACGAGGGGAGTGAGACCCATCATTAGACCTGGAGCGTTTGGAATAATCATTGATCAGTGTGGAAGACTCATCTGATGAGAATCCGGAGGCTCCGCCTCCAAAGCACACAAGTCGAGATTTCAATGCTCTTGGTTTGAATTTCTGACAGTGATTGCAAGAGCTGCTACCCTGTGCAGCCACTTGAGCATGTTCAACTTCCAAGCAAAGAACACAGTGTGTGCTCATCTGAGGCTTGGAGTTGTTTTTCACACTGTTGACATGGGTGGACAGCACTGAATCAGTGTGCAAAGAATGGATTTTCACATAAGAGAAGTGTGTTCCAAGAAAAAAAAAAAAAAAGGTTTTGTTTCGGTGTGAATGCTTCGATTGCCTCGGTATCGCTTCGGATACTTAGAGAGAAAGTTATACTTACCATTGTCTCCGACCCGTTGTGCTACGTGGTCGAAACTCCCACCTATATAAAGCTATTTGACTGGTACAGTCAAGCGTGGACTGTCAGTTTTGGCGTTGGTGGACTCGGTCAAGCGAGGACTGGTAGCCTACAGTACCGCTGAGCTCCGTGATCACAGCTCCAAGCAAGGGAGTGGTAATGCTTGATCAACGGGCTGGTGTGGCACGACACAGCGGGTCAACAAGCGCTAACAACAGGTACAACAAGCTAAGAAAAGACAGCATGTCACGCCACACCGCCTTTTATAGTGACAGGTCATGTGGGTACAGTATGGGTGTAGCGTGACTGTAAACCTCTTTGATATTAAGCATCTCAATCACATTGCGTGAAGGGGAAGGAGTTCCCATAGTTTGTTTGGCAACCTTTTATGAAAACGAAAGAGAACCGTCGGTTACACAGTTATATGGTAATTGTGCCAGCCCTACTTGGGACTGGTGGCATGTTATGTTGTTCTCTTTCAATGACACAGTTTGAACTTAGTCATCCTGGAGTAATTTAAGGGGAGGTCAGTGCCGTTTCTAGGCGAGAGAGGGAGAGATGGAGGTGCTGGGTCTGTGACTGATAGAGCTGACAGAACAGAACGATGACCCCTGACCCCTAGCTTCCTGTTGATACAGGGTCACCTGGCACCTCCCGGAAGTGGAATACACTCATTTCCACTCCTCTTACCTCCCACTTGTCTCTGAGAACAGCTCTGAGACCTCTGTTTCCTCCCTGGGCCACATCACAGAAACACGTGTTGTCTGTGTCCAGATCAGTTCATAATCATCATTCTGACAAACAGATACAAACGATAGGACTCAAAAACTACAAGATTGTACTTGTATATACTTGTAGATACATACATTACATGTTTCCTTAAGTTAATGGGATGCTAAGGTCGTTGCCATAGAGATTGAGGAGGAAGAACAAAGTTGTCTGTTGTCTCCCCCCTCCTTCCCTTTCTCCCTTGCTCTCTCTGGAGAGGAAACTGTGGAATTGGCCCGTGTTGTTTTTGGGTCAATTTCACAGTGCTGCAATTTCTGCTTAGTCAGTTTGAAGTCAGCAAGATATTAGAGACTGGGTGGCGATGCTCTTGTTTAGCTTGATTGGTGTTAGATTACTCATGATGTGTTATGTTCCTTTGTTTGATGGAAGGCCTATGTATAGAGATACAGAATGTTTAGCCAATTAAATGTGGGGTAAATGAACAAACTTCAGAGAAATCTGTAATTATCAGCTGGAAATATTACGAGATGATTTTGGTTCATGTTGGTTTTCTATCTGAGTGACAGCTAAGGGACACACTGAGAGGATCATTTTCAGGAAATTCTGTCTCATTTGATAACTATCTACGCCTTGATACACTACATGGCCAAAAGTTTGTGGACACCTGCTCGTCAAACATCTCATTCCAAAATCATGGGCATTAATATGGAGTTGGTCCCCGATTTGCTGCTATAACAGCCTTCACACTTCTGGGAAGGCTTTCCATTAGATGTTGGAACATTGCTGTGGGGATTTGCTTCCATTCAGCCACAAGAGCATTAGTGAGGTCGGACACTGATGTTGGGCGATTAGGCCTGGCTCGCAGTCAGCGTTCCAATTCATCCCAAAGGTGTTCGATGGGGTTGAGGTCAGGGCTCTGTGCAGGCCAGTCAAGTTCTTCCACACCGATCTCGACAAACCATTTCTGTATGGACCTCGCTTTGTGCACGGGGGCATTGTCATGCTGAAACAGGAAAGGGCCTTCCCCAAACTGTTGCCACAAAGTTGGAAGCACAGAATCGTCTAGAATGTCATTGAATGCTGTAGTGTTAAGATTTCCCTTCACTGGAACTAAGGGGCCTAGCCCGAAACATGAAAAATAGCCCAAGACCATTATTCCTCGTCCACCAAACCTAACAGTTGGCATCTGTCAAACCCAGATTTGTTTGTCAGACTGCCAGATGGTGAAGCGTGATTCATCACTCCAGAGAACACGTTTCTACTGCTCCAGAGTCCAATGGTGGCAACCTTTACACCACTCCAGCCGACGCTTGGCATTGCGCACGGTGATCATAGGCTTTTGTGCGGCTGCTCGGCCATGGAAACCCATTTCATGGAACTCCCGACTAAAAGTTATTGTGCTGACGTTGCTTCCAGAGGCAGTTTGGAACTCGGTAGTGAGTGTTGCAACCGAGGACAGATGATTTTTAGGCGCTATGCGCTTCAGCACTCTGCACTCTGTGAGCTTTTGTGGCCTATCCCTTCGCGGCTGAGCCGTTGTTGCTCCTAGACGTTTCCACTTCACACTAACAGTACTTACAGTTGACTGGGGCAGCTCTAGCAGGGCAGAAATTTGACGAACTGACTTGTTGGAAAGGTGTCATCCTAATGACGGTGCCACGTTGAAAGTCACTCAGTATGGGCCATTCTACTGCCAATGTTTGTCTATGGAGATCACATTGCTGTGTGCTTGATTTTATACACCTGTCAGCAACGGGTGTGGCTGAAATAGCCAAATCCACTAATTTGAAGGGCCATGTAGTGTACCTCTCAATGTGTGTCCTAGAATGTCACAGTGCTGATAATAGTCCTCTTATTAGCCCTAAGACTGTGGCCTTATCTATCTTTTTCACACAACTGTATTGCCAAGCCCAAACGAAAGTGAATGTAGTCACATGTCCAAGCCCTAACTGAAATGACTGTAGTCACATGTCCAAGCCCTAACTGAAATGACTGTAGTCACATATCCAAGCCCTAACTGAAATGACTGTAGTCACATGTCCAAGCCCTAACTGAAATGACTGTCGTCACATATCCAAGCCCTAACTGAAATGACTGTGATGTAGCCACCCTTCCTTCCACCACACTGTTCTCATCAGTTTCCTTAGCTGCCTGGGTCAAGTCAGGAGTTGAGCCACATCCAATGCTGTGTTGCTGCTAGGGCTGTGGCGGTCATGACATGTTGTCAGCTGGTTATTGTCATGCAAAAGACTGCAAGTCTCACGGTAATTGACCGTTAATTAACATAAACACGTTTAGCATCTCCAGGCCTCCACCCATACAAGCTGCATACAAGCTGCTGATGTGCACCTTTGCAACATCTAAATAAATCAATTGAATATACACCACTACAATAAACCCATTATTTCTTTTTGTCAGGTCTAAAGAAACATTATGGTATGAAGAAAATGTATTTCAGAAGAACGTAATATGAGTTGGCGTACTGAATGTTATCTGGCTATGCTCCATGCCATAGGCTATAGGCTTGTTCATAGGTAGTGTTTTCCATGCCGAAAGCAATGCAATCTAGGAATGGTACGTTAATACATAAAATACGTTTAACAGTCCACCCACTAATAAAGTATACAAGGCTTTAGTTGCTGATTGCAACAAACTAATAAATCTTAGAATACAAACTAATGCCATTATTGCTTTATTAGTGCATAATAAATATGAGAAGAAAAGTATCGAGATCTTCAGGTGCAGTTCTAATGTATCTTGACTTATTTTACCATTCCTGGCTTGGCTTTTCAGATTTGACAGGATATCTTTTAGTCAAGCCTTATTTACATGCTGGATTATAGTACGAGATAATTACTAGCTGGTAAAATAGAAGTATTTCCCATTCCGGACAAGTCTGTGCCATAGATGGAGGCTCTTGTTGAGTCATAAGTGTCATCCATTAACAACCGCTCCTTCAAGTTAGGGGTTGAGTTGTAGGTCGGGGAACTTGCCAGATGTGATGGCACAACTCAAAGGTTCTATGAAATTAAAACGTATATGGGCTGCATTGATGCGACTATAGGCTATTGATGATCTCTTTACTAATATGTAGAATTATTTTGATTTAGAATGGCCCATTATCAAATGGGCAGGAACAGGGACAGGGAGAAAATACATGTCATCTGAATGCACTGGAATAGGGAATGGAGGCCGTGCGCTTTCCCGCCGGTCCATTTTTCAATTATGCTTGGTAGGCTATGTATAGCGGAGCATGTGCTTAATATGAGCAGCTGAGAATAAATACAAGAACACTTATTTCACTCCAAGCATCAACCACTTTTTCAGGTGCATGCTCTTGCTGCGCGACAGGTGATATTCCGCCCAAACTCTGGATGCCATGGGCTCTCCAACCCTGTTCCTGCAGCTACCCAGTGCTTAATTTGGGAAACCAAGTCAAATCCGTTCAAACATCGATAGTAACATGTTTTCGCAATGGAACATATTTCACAAAACTGTTGACAGCCCCCCTACGCGCTCGAGAACGGAATAAAGGAGAGAGAGGAGGAGATGGAAACACATGGTGGTGAGATACAGTGGGGAAAAAAAGTATTTAGTCAGCCACCAATTGTGCAAGTTCTCCCACTTAAAAAGATGAGAGAGGCCTGTAATTTTCATCATAGGTACACGTCAACTATGACAGACAAATTGAGAAAAAAAGTCCAGAAAATCACATTGTAGGATTTTTTATGAATTTATTTGCAAATTATGGTGGAAAATAAGTATTTGGTCACCTACAAACAAGCAAGATTTCTGGCTCTCACAGACCTGTAACTTCTTCTTTAAGAGGCTCCTCTGTCCTCCACTCGTTACCTGTATTAATGGCACCTGTTTGAACTTGTTATCAGTATTAAAGACACCTGTCCACAACCTCAAACAGTCACACTCCAAACTCCACTATGGCCAAGACCAAAGAGCTGTCAAAGGACACCAGAAACAAAATTGTAGACCTGCACCAGGCTGGGAAGACTGAATCTGCAATAGGTAAGCAGCTTGGTTTGAAGAAATCAACTGGGGAGCAATTATTAGGAAATGGAAGACATACAAGACCACTGATAATCTCCCTCGATCTGGGGCTCCACGCAAGATCTCACCCCGTGGGGTCAAAATGATCACAAGAACGGTGAGCAAAAATACCAGAACCACATGGGGGGACCTAGTGAATGACCTGCAGAGAGCTGGGACCAAAGTAACAAAGCCTACCATCAGTAACACACTACGCCGCCAGGGACTCAAATCCTGCAGTGCCAGACGTGTCCCCCTGCTTAAGCCAGTACATGTCCAGGCCCGTCTGAAGTTTGCTAGAGTGCATTTGGATGATCCAGAAGAGGATTGGGAGAATGTCATATGGTCAGATGAAACCAAAATATAACTTTTTGATAAAAACTAAACTCGTCGTGTTTGGAGGACAAAGAATGCTGAGTTGCATCCAAAGAACACCATACCTACTGTGAAGCATGGGGGTGGAAACATCATGCTTTGGGGCTGTTTTTCTGCAAAGGGACCAGGATGACTGATCCGTGTAAAGGAAAGAATGAATGGGGCCATGTATCGGGAGATTTTGAGTGAAAACCTCCTTCCATCAGCAAGGGCATTGAAGATGAAACGTGGCTGGGTCTTTCAGCATGACAATGATCCCAAACACACCGCCCGGGCAACGAAGGAGTGGCTTCGTAAGAAGCATTTCAAGGTCCTGGAGTGGCCTAGCCAGTCTCCAGATCTCAACCCCATAGAAAATCTTTGGAGGGAGTTGAAAGTCCGTGTTGCCCAGCGACAGCCCCAAAACATCACTGCTCTAGAGGAGATCTGCATGGAGGAATGGGCCAAAATACCAGCAACAGTGTGTGAAAACCTTGTGAAGACTTACAGAAAACGTTTGACCTGTGTCATTGCCAACAAAGAGTATATAACAAAGTATTGAGAAACTTTTGTTATTGACCAAATACTTATTTTCCACCATAATTTGCAAATAAATTCATAAAAAATCCTACAATGTGATTTTCTTTTTCTCATTTTGTCTGTCATAGTTGACGTGTACCTATGATGAAAATTACAGGCCTCTCTCATCTTTTTAAGTGGGAGAACTTGCACAATTGGTGGCTGACTAAATACTTTTTTCCCCCACTGTATTCTGTAGCTAAAGGTAATGTGTCACCCAATTAATTATGAAATATGAAAAATTCTCTAATACTAGGCTATTCAAAATTGCCCAGCACAATCAATGAACCAACTGCATCGCCTAGGGCTATATGTTCTCTCCCTAGTCTCGTGGATAGAAATTTTTTAAGCATAGCATAAGGTAACCAGTCCATCCAGTATGCATAATAAATAGTCCACACTCAAAGGCGATTACTCTAATTTGGATAATTTGGAGTACAGGCTAGACCAATTATGTGCTAAAGACATCTTAAATCAGTTTTGTTTTATGTTTTTCTAACATGCGTAATACAGTGCCTTTGCAAAAAGTATTCATCCCCCTTGGCATTTTTCCTATTTTGTTGCATTACAACCTGTCATTTAAATGGATTTTTATTTGGATTTTATGTAATGAACATACACAAAATAGTCCAAATTGGTGAAGTGAAATAAAAATAAAAAACTTGTTTCAAGAAATTCTAAAAATTAAATAACGGAAAAGTGGTGCGTGCATATGTATTCACCCACTTTGCTATGAAGCCCCTAAATAAGATATGGTGCAACCAATTACCTTCAGACATCACATAATTAGTTAAATAAGGTCCACCTGTGTGCAATCTAAGTGTCACATGATCTGTCACATGATCTCAGTATATATACACCTGTTCTGAAAGGCCCCAGAGTCTGCAACACCACTAAGCAAGGGGCACCACCAAGCAAGCGGCACCATGAAGACCAAGGAGCTCTCCAAACAGGTTAGGGACAAAGTTGTGGAGAAGTACAGATCAGGGTTGGGTTATAAAAAAATATCCGAAACTTTGAACATCCCACGGAGCACCATTTAAATCCATTATAAAAAAATGGATAGAATATGGCACCACAACAAACCTGCCAAGAGAGGGCCGCCCACCAAAACTCACGGACCAGGCAAGGAGGGCATTAATCAGAGAGGCAACAAAGAGACCAAAGATAACCCTGAAGGGGCTGCAAAGCTCCACAGCGGAGATTGGAGTATCTGTCCATAGGACCACTTTAAGCCGTACACTTTACGGAAGAGTGGCCTGAAAAAATCCATTGCTTAAAGAAAAAAATAAGGCCAAAAGGCATGTGGGAGACTCCCCAAACACATGGAAGAAGGTACTCTGGTCAGATGAGACTAAAATTGAGCTTTTTGGCCATCAAGGAAAACACTATGTCTGGCGCAAACCCACACCTCTCATCACCCAGAGAACACCATCCCCACAGTGAAGCATGGTGGTGGGATGGTGTTTTCATTTTTTTTTGTCTTATTTCTTGTTTGTTTCACAATAAAACATATTTTGCATCTTCAATGTGGCAGGCATGTTGTGTAAATCAAATGATACAAACCCCCCAAAAATCTATTTTAATTCCAGGTTGTAAGGCAACAAAATAAGAAAAATGGCAAGGGGGGTGAATACTTTGGCAAGCCACTGTATGTGGTAGGGTATGTATTGTATAACGGCACAATCATAATTTTCGGGCTCATAAGCCAATGCCTATGCATATGCATAAGCTCTTATATGCATATGGTGTTTTGAATTAATCATCACCTTAGAAAGCTGTCCATTTTGTTGTGTTAGGCTTTGAAACAACATCCACAATGACCATGGTTTACACTCAGTTTCAACCTGCTGTTGAACCTTTCTTCAAAGTGATCATCACAGTGAGGTGAGTTTTAAAAGCATGATACTGTTTTGATGATAAGTGTTTGAGGTGACTTTCAATTGCATTTGCATTGATATCAGAGTAGTTAGATGGACAATAGAGCCCTGAGTACCAGGCCATCAGGACCTGATAGTTATTAGCAAGTTGGGTACTACCAAAGCATGTCCAGAGTGCATAACAGGAGATTACCATGACTCAACCGTCATGTGGCCATATCTCAAAGGTGCACACACACACACACACACACACATACACACACACACACATACACACACACTTGAGAGGGCATATCAGGGCCTGAACCACACAGCGGCTGCTGGCACCACCAGGCCCCTAACCACTCCCTCTCTCCCGGCCTTTCACTGTGGGATTGTGTTCCGGGGGCTAGAGAGCAGGACTGTGCGGCACCATTGTGTCGTGGGCCGGAGATCAGGAAGCAGAGGATAGCGTAGGAGAAGAATGGGGGAAATTTTGTTGCTGAAGTGGGGGAAGAGGGCTGGAGAGGCGGGGGTGTCAATAGGGTCATTTATTTTTAGCGAGTGTCCCTGGCTGCTATCCTTCCTCCTCTGGCCTCTCAGGACATCCAGATGTCCAGTGGCAAAACAGCATTGGCAGCAGTTAGCTTAATGCTTTTGTTGTGCTTAGATAAACAGTGCAATTGACATATACTGTATAGATAGATCCATAGTTTGCAATGAGCAGAAATCCCAGACAGTGTTATTAATGCTCCTCTCTGTATGAGCCAGTTATCCAGCCAGACACATGGGACTCATTTGTTGGTGGTGTTTTTGTTTGCCCTGTGATTGAGTTAGAGCACCTCTTACAAGAGATCTCTTTACAAAAACCCAACTGGCTGCAGAGGGGATTCATATTATTTAATTTGAGTTGGAATGATTGTAAATGGCTAGAATAAATCGGATGGGCCAACAGTGTGGTTTAGATTTGGAAAAACATTGTGAATTCAGCATGCATCTTAGTTCTGTTGATGATGAGTGATTCCTCTGGTAAGATTAAGTGTATGTATGTATTGATGCCAATACAGAGAATGATGCTAGTGTGACTGTGATGTATTGCTTTCCATTAGCCAGATCTAATTGGATGTTTATGTTACTTAATTGGGTCATGTGCCAATTAGGGTTGGGCCGATATATGATACATTTTTTTATTTTATTTCACCTTTATTTAACCAGGTAAGCCAGTTGAGAACAAGTTCTCATTTACAACTGCGACCTGGCCAAGATAAAGCAAAGCAGTGCGATTAAAAACAACAACACAGAGTTACATATGGGGTAAAACAAACATAAAGTCAAAAATACAACATTAAATCGAATATTGTGACATTTGACATTGACGATATATCGTGATGTGCAAGACTATACTGTATTTGGATATTACAAATCAAAACTGTGCAATTTTATCAGTTAGGCTGTATCAATATGTTGAAAATGAAGTCTAAATCAATTAACTAAGCCTTATATTTTAGTCAGACAGATTATTTAATGAGAATGCGACTATAATATTGTAAATAAGCACAAAACTTGCAGAGTCAGGAATTATTTAGTCAGTAATGGCGCAAAACAATTATATTAGATATCGCAATATTTGGAGTAGCATGTCGTAGAAGCTCAACCCTAGTGCCAATATGTCAGACAGGGTCCTACACTCATCGGAGAAAAGGTGCTATCTATAACCTAAAAGGGTTCTTCGGCTGTCCCCATAGGAGAACCCTTTGAATAACCCTTTTGGTTCCAGGTAGAACACTTTTGGTTCCAGGTAGAACCCTTTTGGGTTCCATGTAGATGGTTCTACATGGAATCCAAAAGGGTTCTACCTCGAACCAAAAAGGGTTGTCCTATGGGGACTGCCGAAGAAACCTTTTGGAACCCTTTTTTTCTAAGAGTGTAGACACTCCCAGAAATGCATAGGTGCATGAAATATCCCATTAAGAGACTTATTGTCGTCAGTGTTGACCAGACCTCTCACAATGAATCAACTTCTCGAGGAAGTCCTGGAAGCCTGTTTTATGGCAGCATACGTTCTGGAGCATATAAGCTGTAACATCCAATCCATGTCTCAGGCCGCCACGTCCATGCCAATATCCAGTCTGGGGATGGGGCCTGGGGTAGGGGGTAGGGGGTGCCGGAGCTGGGTTACCCTGGCCATGAAGCTCCGTGCTGGGGCTCAGGCCAGGGCTTCTCCTGGTCACAACCTGGGTGGGGATGGTTTAAGAAGGTTAAGAAATCTGTTTGTGCATTAGCTAACTCTGGTATGACAATGAACATGACACACATCTACACTGAGTGTACAAATCCACTTCAATCAGTGTAGATGAAGGGGAGGAGACATGTTAAAGAAGGATTGTTAAGCCTTGAGACAGTTCAAATCAAATCAAATCAAAATGTATTTGTCACATACATGTGTTTAGCAGATGTTATTGCGGGTGTAGCGAAATGCTTGTGCTTCTAGCTCCGACAGTGCAGTAAAATCTAACAATTTCACAACATATACCCAATACACACAAATCTAAGTAAGGAATGGAATTTAAGAATATATACATATATGGACAAGCAATGACAGAGCGGCATGGACTAAGATACAGTAGAATATTATAGAATACAGTATATACAAATGAGATGAGTAATGCAAGATTTGTAAACATTATTAAAGTGACTAGTGTTCCATTTCTTAAGTGGCCAGTGATTTCAATAGGCAGCAGCAGCCTCTAATGTGCTAGTGATGGCTATTTAACAGTCTGATGGCCTTGATATAGAAGCTGTTTTTCATTCTCTCGCTCCCAGCTTTGATGCACCTGTACTGACCTCGCCTTCTGGATGATAGCGGGGTGAACAGGCAGTGGCTCGGGTGGTTGATGTCCTTGATGATCTTTTTGACCTTCCTGTGACATCGGGTGCTGTAGGTGTCCTGGTAGTGGGTAGTTTGCCCCCGGTAATGTGTTCGGCAGACAGCACCACCCTCTGGAGAGCACTGCGGTTGCGGGCGGTGCAGTTGCCGTATCAGGCGGTGATTATAGCCCGACAGGATGCTCTCAATTGTGCATCTGTAAAGGTTTGTGAGGGTTTTAGGTTCCAAGCCAAATTTCTTCAGCCTCCTAAGGTTGAAGAGGCTCTGTTGCGCCTTCTTCACCACACTGTATGCGTGGATGGACCATTTCAGTTAGTCAGTGATGTGTACGCCAAGGAACATGAAGCGTTCCACCTTCTCCACTGCGGTCCCGTCGATGTGGATAGGGGGGTGCACCCTCTGCTGTTTCCTGAAGTCCACGATCATCTCCTTTGTTTTGTTGATGTTGAGTGAGAGGTTATTTTCCTGGCATCACACTCCCAGAGCCCTCACCTCCTCCCTGTAGGCTGTCTCGTCATTGTTGGTAATCAAGCCTACTACTGTTGTGTCGTCTGCAAACTTGATGATTGAGTTGGAGGCGTGCTTGGCCACGCAGTCATGGGTGAACAGGGAGTACAGGAGGGGACTGAGAACGCACCTTTGTGGGGCCCCAGTGTTGAGGATCAGCGTAGTGGAGGTGTTGTTTCCTACCTTCACCACCTGGGGGCGACCCGTCAGGAAGTCCAGGACCCAGTTTCACAGGGCGGGGTTCAGACCCAGGGCCTCGAGCTTAATGATGAGCTTGGAGGGTACTATGGTGTTGAATGCTGAGCTATAGTCAATGAACAGCATTCTTACATAGGTATTCCTCTTGTCCAGATGGGATAGGGCAGTGTGCAGTGTGATGGCGATTGCATCGTCTGTGGATCTATTGGGGCGGTAAGCAAATTGAAGTAGGTCTAGGGTGACAGGTAAGGTAGAGGTGATATGATCCTTGACTAGTCTCTCAAAGCACTTCATGATGACAGAGGTGAGTGCTACGGGGCGATAGTCATTTAGTTAATTTACCTTTGCTTTCTTGGGTACAGGAACAATGGTGGCCATCTTGAAGCATGTGGGGACAGCAGACTGGGATAGGGAGATTGAATATGTCCGTAAACACACCAGCCAGCTGGTCTGCGCATGCTCTGTGGACGCGGCTAGGGATGCCGTCTGGGCCGGCAGCCTTGCAGGGGTTAACATGCTTAAATGTCTTACTCATGTCGGACACGGAGAAGGAGAGGCCCACAGTCCTTGGTAGTGGGCCGCGTCGGTGGCACTGTGTTATCCTCAAAGCGGGCAAAGAAGGTGTTTAGCTTGTCTGGAAGCGAGACGTCGGTGTTGGCGACGTGGCTGGTTTTCCTTTTGTAGTCCGTGATTGTCTGTAGACCCTGCTACATACGTCTCGTGTCTGAGCCGTTGAATTGCGACTCCACTTTGTCTCTGTACTGATGTTTTGCCAGTTTAATTGCCTTGCGGAGTGAGTAGCTACACTGTTTTATATTCTGTCATATTCCCAGTCACCTTGCCATGCTTAAATGCGGTGGTTTGCGCTTTCAGTTTTGCGCGAATGCTTCCATCTATTCACGGTTTGAGACATGGAATTGTGTATATGTGCCATTCAGAGGGTGTATGGGCAAGACAAAAGATTTAAGTGCCTTTGAACGGAGTATGGTAGTAGGTGCCAGGTGCACCGGTTTGAGTGTGTCAAGAACTGCAACGCTGCTGGATTTCTCACGCTGAACCGTTTCCCGTGTGTATCAAGAATGGTCCACCACCCAAAGGACATCCAGACAACTTGACACAACTGTGGGAAGCATTGGAGTCAACATGGGCCAGCATTCCTGTGGAACGCTTTCGACTCCTTGTAGAGTCCATGTCCCATCAAATGGAAGCTGTTCTGAGGGCAAAAGGGGGTGTAACTCAATATTAGGAGGTGTTCCTAATGTTTTGTACACTCAGTGTATGTTGTTATGTAGCCTACAGAGTGACAATGAAAGTCTGAAGTTGACGAAAAGCAGAGAGATAGGATAGGAACAGAGACAGGATAGGAACAGAGACAGGATAGGAACAGAGACAGAGACAGGATAGGAACAGAGACAGGATAGGAACAGAGACAGGATAGGAACAGAGACAGAGACAGGATAGAGACAGAGACAGGATAGGAACAGAGACAGAGACAGGATAGGAACAGAGACAGAGACAGGATAGAAACAGAGACAGAGACAGGATAGGAACAGAGACAGGATAGGAACAGAGACAGAGACAGGATAGAGACAGAGACAGGATAGAGACAGAGACAGGATAGGAACAGAGACAGAGACAGGATAGGAACAGAGACAGAGACAGGATAGAGACAGAGACAGGATAGAGACAGAGACAGGATAGGAACAGAGACAGAGACAGGATAGGAACAGAGACAGAGACAGGATAGAGACAGAGACAGGATAGAGACAGAGACAGGATAGGAACAGAGACAGAGACAGGATAGGAACAGAGACAGAGACAGGATAGGAACAGAGACAGAGACAGGATAGGAACAGAGACAGGATAGGAACAGAGACAGAGACAGAGACAGAGAGGGCGAGGGAGACAGAGAGATCCAGAGAGGGATTCAGTGGGGGACGTGCTGGAGAAATGTGTGGAAAACCTCATAGAGGAGATGAGGAGGAGAGGTGGCATGACATGACAGGCCTGCTGTCTGATATATCTGCAGTGGAAAAATCAGGCCTATCCCAGCCCTAGTTCCAAGTCTATCTCACATCTGTTACCCCGTACTGCCGTTTGAGTGACAGGGTGTTTGGCTCACCTATCCTCTACAGCACAGTCACTCACCTAATCCTTCTTGAACAGTCTTCAACAATCCCCTTACCGAGAAACAACAATGCCGAAACTCGTAATACCTAATTTGAGCCATTCCAGAAGTGTAGTGAAACATGACAAGGACTTGGTGTTGGATCAGGTGGCCAGCCTGATGTACATCTTGAGGTTCCTATCCAGGGCCAAAGTGTGGTCATAGTGTGGTAGCTTTAATACCAGCAACACATTGTGACTCACTTTTACGAGAGTGAACTCTGAACCAATTGGCGTTTTATAGCCAGCGCTGAGATCTCACTCCCGAGGCAAGAGCTTACTTGAAATGCTGAGGCATCCAGTATTTATGAAAAAGTGCAAGGTTACGGGCCTGTGTTTCATTTATTCGGACTGGCAAGCGATTGTAAATCTTTCCGCACATAGGGCCGCATGAACTGCTCATGCTATTTACACAAGCATGGCCAATTTCTGTCCCTCCCTCTCTCTCTCTGGCTGTGTGAGAATGGTTGACACACAACCTGTAGAAAATAGAGCGAAATAGCTGGAGTTTCTGTCTCAGAGGAACCTTTAGCACCTCATGCATTTTTTAAAGACGCCCATATGCCTCCCTCTTTTTGTTAACGTGACTTGCCCTCTCTCTGTCCCCCTTCAGATCTGTCCACAGCCAAGAGGAAGTTTGCAGAGTCTCTCAATGAGTTTAAGTTCCAGTGCATAGGAGACGCAGAGACGGACGACGAGATATGTATCGGTGAGCTAGCCAATGCCCTCCATCATATTCAGCTGTACCACATTCGGCTGTAACACAGTAACACAGCAAAACTGAAGTGCGTTCAGTTGTACCACACACAACTGTTCTGCATGCTATTGTTGTTTAGTAATAGTTACTACCCTCAACTGTAACCAACTGCTGCACTACATTCACATCCACTGTAGTAGTGCTAATGCACTCCATTACTCTGCACTGTACACATTCTGGGCTGCCTTGTTCTACCTAATTGCACTTATAGTGCACCTAATTGGTACAGGAAGGCTGTTATAAACACAATTAGGCTCCTTGGATGGAGTTGTATGAAATGTAATAACCTCAATAAACTTGCCATTATGTTGAAGGAACATTCCTGGAATATTTTTACAGTAGGAATTCAAAGTTATAAGTGACTAGAGGTCTACATTCAGAGAGTAGTATTCTGTCAAATGGAAACGTTGGAACAGGATCGTGGCATCTCAAGTGGAAACTCTGACCCAAAACAATGCAGTCATTCTTGGCTAGATCTAGAGCAGGGAAGGAACAAGCAATAGCTTGCTAGTTGAAAACATACTATGGTCTAAAGCAAGCATGTAAACTAGGATTTCAAATTAAGAGCCTTGTTATACAAGCAAGGCCACAAATGTGGAATGGGAGATTTTGTATAGAGACAAATGATGACCACTGACTCATTATGTATTGTTATCCTCCCTCTGTATCCCCTCTCTGCTCCCTCTGTCTATCTGGCTGGCCTGTCCATCTCTCTATCCATCTACAGCAAAGTCTCTACAGGAGTTTGCTGGAGTTTTGCAGAACCTGGAGGATGAGAGAACGCGGATGGTGAGTGTCAGATGGACTCACTGCTTTGGAATGAAAGTGTTGTATAACCAATTAGTGAAGGTATGGCGGCAGGCCAATCTGTGTTTATACAGTATGTCAGTAGAGTGACTTCCTGTCAGCTGTCTTGTGACTTCCTGTATCTCTCCTCAGATTGAGAATGCAGATGATGTGCTGATTATGCCACTGGAGCGGTTCAGGAAGGAGCAGATCAGTGCTGCCAAGGTAAGGAGATATTATAACTGGACTCCCCCATGCTGGGGCGGGGGATCCCCCTCTAAATGTCCTGATAATCCCTACTACGGGGTCATTGTGTGATTTTACAATCCATCATGGAGTATGAGGTGAATTATAATCATTTTTGGGTTATGTAGCCATCTCATAATCCCTCTTAAACCTTGAAAGACCGGGGACATTCGAACCTATCCGCTGCTAAAGTACCTGATTTTCAGGAAATGCACTGATCACTCAAATATTAGCAGTTTGCCCCTCAGTCTGGCAGGTAACTGACTTTGTCCTGGTTGTTCTGATTCCAGAAGTTACATTTGCGTAGGTCTAAAATGTATACACCACAAGGAATACCATCCCTTTATTAAATCCCCATTGATGACTGCATTCAGAGCTCTCCCTGTACTGTACCTCTGAGTCTGAACTGCTCTCTGCTCTGTCCGCCAGAGCTGACAGGCCTGTTGTGATAAGACACTGCCACCATTTGGTCAGTACGGGTATCACATGAAAGGCTTCAGGATTTACTTGGTTGATTGTTCATTTTTACAATGACGGCCTACAATGAAGAAATGTAACACAAATACTGAGTGATTGTAAACTTTTTTACATATTGATATAACTCTTTGTGATTTTACCTCTCACCATATCATTATTTTGTAGGTTAATTGAATGTTTGAAGAATAATTTAGTGTTTGAAAAAGGGATACTTGAACTCAAAGAGCCCACAATGAAACATGTCTGTAGTGTATAACAGCCACGATGCAGGTTCATTTATTATTAAGGGTTAGCGCTAATAGAAGGGCCCTTTGTTAATTACATTTTGATGCTCTGTAATGATGTGTTGTGCAGCTGTTGGTAGTGGTCATTCTGTTCTGAGAAGGGTTGGTTCTACGTCCTGTGGAAACTGGCTGGCGGTGAAAGGCTGGGTCATGTGACCGGGTGGACAGGGATGATGATGACATCAGTCAGTAGCAGGTGTGGACACAGTCAGTGCACCCCAGGGTGACAAGTACTGTACTGTATGTTACTGACACACCCTGCTCTGTCTGTCTGTGAGAGAGGCTGGGAGAGACACCTTGGTCTGTCTGTCTGATTACTGTCTGTGATAGAGGCTGGGAGAGACACCTTGGTCTGTCTGTCTGTCTGTCTGTCTGTCTGTCTGTCTGAGGACTGTATGTGAGAGAGGCTGGGAGAGACACCCTGTTATGTCTGTCCGTCTCTGTCTGTCTAAAGTGCGGGTATAAAGTGCTCTATTGTTTTCCCACCAGCTGTGGGCTGTCTCTGCACTAGAGGACATGTGATTTCAACATGTATCTCACAATATTTCCCTCTAAATCTGTCTGTAAAACTAAGCCCTGGACAAACCCATGACTCTTTGGAAATTATGTTCTGTTGGATGGCGGCAGTGATTATATCTGTGTTATATAGAGGATTCCCCTGAGAAAGAGGTCTTCTGACCTCAATGGGACATCCTATAAATTGTACTATGTGGTGTCCAGGATTTGGAAACAAGGTGACGGTTGGTGACCTTTTGACTGTCTATCACAGGAAGCCAAGAAGAAATATGACAAAGAGACAGAGAAGTACTGTGCTGTACTGGAGAAGCACCTAAGCCTATCAGCAAAGAAGAAAGAAGCACATCTTCATGAAGTAAGCATACATTGTTCTCCTTTCCCACAATCAAAATGGGCTAGAGTTGGCTTGTCATTACATTTATGTTAAGATGCATGAGTGTGTACAAGTGTGTGTGTGCGTGTGCGCTGTAAGTCAGTTCAAACAGAATCAGAATCTCGTTTATTATCCTACAAGAGGAAAATCTTGGCACAACTCACACATGAATACTTAAAAAAATATGAGAACACAGAACAAACCAAAAACAGCATGAATAGTCCCCCCCCCTCCCCGCCCATGGGAGAAATGACATGGAATTGTTCACTATGGTGATAGCCTCCGGGATGAAACTCCTCCCGAAACGCACAGTGCGCCACAGAATTGTCCAGTATCTCACACCCAATGGGAGGAGATCAAAGCAAAGGTGAAGTGGGTGGAGATTATGTGGCGGGCTTTGTGTTGGATAGCGCAACCATTCAGATGGGAGAGCAAACAGCATTACTTCACTATGTGTGTCACCTGAAAGTCATTTCAAACAGCATCCTATCACTGTGTGTGTGGTGCAGGCAGACAGTCAGGTGGACCACGTGCGGCAGCATTTCTACGAGGTGTCTCTGGAGTATGTGTTCAAGGTGCAGGAGGTCCAGGAGAGGAAGATGTTTGACTTCGTAGAGCCGGTGAGTGAGCATGTCAACCTCCCTCAGCATATGCTGTCTATACTGTTTAGGGTTGCAAAATGCCATTAACTTTCCTAAACTTCCCAGGTTTTCCAGAAATCCTGGTTGGAAGACTCCCGATTTCCTGCTTATTCCCTCCTGATTCAGGGAATCTTCCAACCAGGATTTCTGGAAGACCTGGGAATTTTGGGAAGGTTACTGGAGTTTTTCTAACCCTAATACTGTTACTGTACTCTATACACCTTTCATGCTTAGTCATCTCTCCTTGATCCACACTGTCTACAGAATAAATGTAGTTGACAACAAGTACCTTTCAAATCAAATTACAGTAGATTAGGTTGATTGAATTTAATGACGTTTCTCAACCATGTTTCCTTTCCCGTTCTTCCTTTATATCCATTCTAGTTACTGGCATTTCTTCAAGGGCTGTTTACTTACTACCACCATGGGTACGAGTTGGCCAAAGACTTCAACCACTTCAAGACAGACCTCACCATCAGCATTCAGAATGTAAGATACATATCAATGCCATTCATTACAGCCATGAGGTGCTGATGAGATTTAATCTTTTGTCACACCAAAGGCATTTCAAGGCACTAGCCCAAACTAGGGGTGGGCGGTATACTGTATTTTACTATATACCGGTATTGATGCATGGACCGGTTTGGGTTTTTAATTTACCTTCTATAACGGTATTTCAATGTTTGGTTTGTTAAATGTGATACGCAACTCAGCGCGTGTAATGTCAGTTTTTATAGTTCACTCCGTTTGCTATTTGATTCGTCTTTCTCGCTCCACCTGCTGCATGCCACTTCCCACACCAAGCCCTGCCCCCTGTTACTCAAGGAGAGAGCAGTTGCTCGACCACAGAGTCATTAACACTTTCTTGCCGCAGTCTGCATGGTCAGATAGATGCAACAAGATGTTGGTGAAAAAGATGCTGCTTTCCACGAGCGTTCTACAAATACACTATTAGTTTGTGTATCTTACTGTTTGCAAACTACTGTCTGCTAGTTTGTCTTTTCTTAGCAAGTTGTGGCTAAAATAAATCTGGTTAGCCGCTAATGCTAAACACTAGTTAGCTGGCTAGCTAGCTTGCTAAATGTACTAAGAGTCAGAGCAAACGTAGATAGCTAATAAATACAGCCTGGTACAAGTGCTGGTCTAGGCCTAGATAAGCATGTTGTTTGTGCAACTGTATCTTAAATCAGAGAGGAATAGGTTAAACATGAATATGTTAGCTAGCTGCCTAGCTACATGAGGTAAGAAAGCATGGAATGTAACATCTAAGTTTTGTATTTTGTATTTATTATGGATCCCCATTAACTGCTGCCAAGGCAGCAGCTACTCTTCCTGGGGTCCAGACACATTAAGGCACATCACAAAATAAATAAACAAAAACTAAATAAAACAGTACATCGCATAGCATCACCACACCACTACATATCCACAGCACAAAATTTACAATACCACCATACATCAATATTAAAATGTGTGTGTGTGCCTGTGTGTCTGTTCACAGTCTGCGTTGTTCTATAAGATGTAGCTTTATCTGTTGTTTTTTTTCATTCAATTTTACTGCTTGCATGAGTTACTTGATGTGAAATAGAGTTCCATGTAGTCATGGCTCTGTGTAGTACTGTGCGTTTCCCGGAGTCTGTTCTGGACTTGGGGACTGTGAAGAGACCCTTGGTGGCATGTCTTGTGGGGTATGCATCGTTTGAACAGATGGGTATATTTGGGGTATTTTATTAGGATCCCCATTAGCTGTTGCTAAAGCAGCAGCTACTCTTCCTTGGGTCCACAGCGCGGTGCTTCCAACATGTCAATCCCTCTCACAAAGACAAGTAGTGATGCAGTCTATCTCTCCTCTACTTTGAGCCAGGAGAGATTGACATGCATGTCATTGATGTTAGCTCTCTGTGTACGTTTAAGGGCCAGCCGTGCTGCTCTGTTCTCGGCCAACTGTAATTTGCCTATGTCCCTCTTTGTGGCACTTGACCATATGACTGGACAGTAGTCCAGGTGCGACAATACTAGGGCCTGTAGGACTTGTTTTGTTGATAGCTTTGTCAAGAAAGCAGATGAGCGTTTTATTACAGACAGACCCCTCCCCATCTTAGCTACCATTGCATCAATATGTTTACAATCCAGGGTTACGCCAAGCAGTTTAGTCTCCTCAACTTGCTCAATTTCCACATTATTCATTACAAGATTTAGTTGAGGTTTAGTGAATGGTTTGTCCTAAATACAAAGCTTTTCATTTTTTTGAAATATTTAGTAAATTTTTACATTTTAGTCATTTAGCAGACGCTCTTATCCAGAGCAACTTACAGTTAGTGAGTGCATACATATTTTTTTTATTTTTCATACTGGCCCCCTGTGGGAATCGAACCCACAACCCTGGCGTTGCAAACGCCATGCTCTACCAACTGAGCTACATCCCTGCCAGCCATTCCCTCCCCTACCCTGGACCAATTGTGCGCCACTTGTCCTGTTGTGTAACAATCACATTTTGGAACAGTGAGTGCATTCTGACACATAAAACAGCTCACAGTGGGGAGACTGTTAGAGATATTTGGAATTCACGCGTGAAAAGGTTAAATGAGTGTTGCAGTGATTTCACTTAGCTGACATGTATAATGTTGAGTCATCGTTATACATACAATGCATTCGGAAAGTATTCAGACCCCTTGACTTTTTCCACATTTTGCTACATTACAGCCTAATTCAAAATAAATTCCTCATCAATCTACAGACAATATCGCATAATGACAAAGAAAAAACAGTTTCTTTTTACATTTTCGCAAATTTATTTTAAAAAACAACACATACCTTATTTACATAAGTTTTCAGACCCTTTGCTATGAGACTCAAAATTGAGCTCAGGTGCATCCTGTTTCCATTGATCATCCTTGAGATGTTTCTACAACTTGATTGGAGTCCACCTGTGGTAAATTCAATTGATTGGACATGATTTGGAAAGGCACACACCTGTCAATATAAGGTCCCGCAGTTGACAGTGCATGTCAGAGCAAAAACCAAGCCATGAGGTTGAGGAATTGTCCGTAGAGCTCCGAGACAGGATTGTGTCAAGGCACAGATTTGGGGAAGGGTACCAAAAAATGTCTGCAGCATTGAAGGTCCCCAAGAACACAGTGGCCTCCATTATTCTTAAATTGAAGAAGTTTGGAACCACCAAAACTCTTCCTAGAGCTGGCTGCCCGGCCAAACTGAGCAATCGGGTGAGAAGGGCCTTGGTCAGGGAGGTGACCAAGAACCTGATGGTCTATCTGACAACGCTCCAGAATTCCTCTGTGGAGATGGGAGAACCTTCCAGAAGCACAACCATCTCTGCAGTACTCCACCAATCAGGCCTTTATGGTGGGTGACCAGATGGAAGCCACTCCTCAGTAAAAGGCACGACAGCCCGCTTGGAGTTTTCCAAAAAGCACCTAAAGGACTCTCAGACCATGAGAAACAAGATTCTCTGGTCTGATGAAACTAAGATTGAACTCTTTGGCCTGAATGCCAAGCGTCACGTCTGGAGGAAACCTGGCACCATCCCTAGGGTGAAGCATGGGGGTGGCAGCATCATGTTGTGGGGAGGTTTTTCAGCGGCAGGGACTGGGAGACTAGTCAGGATCGAGCAAAAGATGAATGGAGAAAAGTACAGAGAGACCTGAAAATAGCTGTGCAGCAACACTCCTCATCCAACCTGACAGAGCTTGAGAGGATCTGCAGAGAAGAATGGAAGAAACTCCCCAAATACAGGTGTGCCAAGCTTGTAGCATCATACACAATAAGATTCAAGACTGTAATCGCTTCCAAAGGTGCTTCAACAAAGTACTGAGTAAAGGGTCTGAATACTTATGTTAATGTGATATCTCGATGTTTTACTTTTAATACATTTGCAAAACATTTTAAAAACCTGTTTTTGCTTTTTCAGTATGCGGTATTGTGTATAAACAACCATTTAATCAATTTTAGAATAAGGCTGTAATGTAACAAAATGTGGAAAAAGTAAAGGGGTCTGAATACCTTCCGAATGCACTGTAGATTTACTCAGTGCCAGTCGCAGGTCATTAGTAAATATTTTAAAAAGCAAGGGGCCTAGACAACTGGCCTGGGGAATGCCCGACTCTACCTGGGTTATGTTGGAGAGGCTTCCTTTAAAGAGCACCCTCTGTGTCTTGGTAGACGGATAAATCTCAATCCACGATATTGCAGGGGATGTAAAGCCATAACACATACGTTTTTCCAGCAGCAAATTATGATCTGTCTAGCAAAATTGCTTCTTATTATCAATTTTTTTCAGCCAATTTATTTTCAGTCATTTGTTTATTATGAAATTCCATTGTATCTGGTCAAACACATTTTTTTCCAAAAGTGTACTAAGGGTTGGTAGCAGGCTGATAGGTCGACTGTTTGAGCCAGTAATGGGTGCTTTGCAGACGCTCTTATCCAGGTAGTGGAATGACTTTTGCTTCCCTCCAGGCCTGAGGGCACATTTGTTGTTGTCATGTCATGCCTAAATTTGCTAATCTCTCACTAATTAGGGTCCCCTGGAAACATTGACCAACACTTTGGTTCCTAACCTGTCAATAATTCCTCCCTGGCTTATTCATTTGTTGTCATGTCAAACAACAATATATTCAAGGTGCTGCCCACTATATTTGAACTATAGAATTAGAATAATCATTCTATTTCCATCATTCCAACAGTTCAGGTATTAACTAAGCCTAGATGTTTTGCCCATATCATGCATCCCTGCGTGGCACAGTGTGGAAATGATAACAAAAGTGCAGGAAATGCAGAAATTGTAGAAAATGCTGAAAATTAATTAATGTTGGATTGAACAGTATAAAACAATCAGAATGGAGAAAGCCCATATGTGTTGCCACTATAGGGTCCTGAACTACTCATAAAGCATATTTATAACTTTTATTATTCAAAAACATCAAATACCGTCATACCGTAATAAATGTGAAATATATTGTGATATGATGTTTTGGCCCTAACACTAACTGCAGACAATGGTGAATTGCACAGAATGCAGGGTGTTAGGATGTTTCCATCATTGTCTGTCTCCTCTCCTGCCCCGTTCAGACACGGAACCGTTTTGAAAGCACACGGTCTGAGGTGGAGTGTCTGATGAGGAAGATGAAGGAGAACCCCCATGAACACAAGAGTATCAGCCATGACACCATGGAGGGATACCTGTTTGTACAGGAGAAACGTGAGTGTCCCGTCCTGCTCTCTGTATCCGTCTCTTGCACTTTCTCTCTCTCCCTCTCTCTCTCACACTTCCTTTTTTCTCTCTTTCATGCTGCAATAGGTCACAATTTCACTACTCAGTGATTTATTTTTGCCACATAGAAAAGCATGGTTGCGGTGACATCACGACTACCGCTTTAGTGACACCAATGTCGTTTAGACACCAGTGTTGTTTCAAATAGATTACAATTTCCCAATAGAAACAACAAGATTAATTGTATTCAGGATGAGAGTATCACGCTCTTAGGGGTGACGGGGGACCCAGCGTGTGCAATAACCATGGTAACCCACAACATTTGTTCAATGCTCCCCGTCTCTGCTTCTCTATCTGCTCCTCTCGCTTCCCTCTCTCAGGCTCTTTCGTGTCAACCTGGGTCAAGTACTACTGCACCTACCATCGAGAGCCCAAACGAGTCACCATGGTCCTGTTCGACCAGAAGTCTGGAGGCAAAGTGGTGAGTTGTCTCAGAGAGGAAGAGGTGAAGCCAGAGTGATAACTGGGCCCAAAATCTGTCTTCTCCAGCAGGTGGCTTTTTTTTTTTTCTGCTCACCTAGCAAGGAGTTTTTGTATGGAGGTCAATGAGAGAGTGTCGAATTTGGTTAACAAAAAATGGAATGGCTTATTTGCTACGTGTGGCTTATTTGATCGAATAGAAGCTTTGTTATGTTTAGTTTGTTACGAGTGTACTGATATAAGTAGGATATGTGACATCCTGGCAACTTTGAGATAAAACACTTGTTGTTCACACGGGTATCTGCCCGCTCATTGTCTAGAATGGTCCCACCTGATCTTGCCTCCTCCAGACTAAATCTATTCGCTATCGTTTCTTATAACAGACAATAACTTTTGAACATCAGATCGGCAATTACTTAACTCAATCCCAGCTTCAACTTCGACTCATCTGCCCTGGGCTCTTTCTGTAATTCCAATTTTCGGGGTATCCAAGAGGAAACACCGGTGTTACAGATGCAAGAGAGAGGGAGTCCTGGCGAGATTAAGGCGAAGAGAAATCCGACCACCTCTTCCCTCCATTCAATTGACCACTTGATAATAAGATGGATGACCTCCGAACGCGGATTTGCTACCAACGGGACTCTCGTCACTGCAATATTCTCTGCTTTTCTGAAACATGGCTTTTGGACAAGATACCCCCCATGGCTATCCAACACGATGGATTCTCCATTCACCAAGCGGACAGGACATTGGAGTCAGGGAAATCGAGAGGGGGAGGGGTTTTCCTCTTCATCAACAACAAATGGTGTGCTGACTCGACCTATTGGTGTTCTCCCGTATTGGAATACCTGATGGTCAAATGTTTTCAGCTGTTATCGTGACTGTTGGATACATTCCACCTCAGGACAAGAAAAATAACGAACTAGCACTTAACGAACTGTACAAGGCTACAGTGGCTTGCGAAAGTATTCACCCCCCTTGGCATTTTTCCTATTTTGTTGCCTTACAACCTGGAATTCCCTATGCAACTGGATCCTGGACTTCCTGATGGGCCGACCCCAGGTGGTGAGGGTAGGCAACATCATCTCCACCACGCTGACTCTCAACACGGGGGCCCCACAGGGGTGTGTGCTTAGTCCCCCTCAGGAAGCTGAAAAGATTTGGCATGGGCCCTCAGATCCTCACAAAGTTATACAGCTGCCCCATTAAGAGCATCTTAACTGACTGCATCACTGCTTGGAATGGCAACAGCACCGCCCTCCATCGCATGGCGCTACAGAGGGTGGTACGGACAGCCCAGTACATCCCTGGGGTGGAGCACCCTGCCATCCAGGACCTCTATATCAGGCGGTGTGAATGGAAGGCCCGGAAAATCGTTAGTCTCCAGCCACCCAAGCCATAGACTGTTCTCTCTGCTTCCACATGGTAAGCGGTACAGGTGCATCAAGTCTCACACCAACAGGCTCCTGAACAGCTTCTATCCCCAAGCCATAAGACTGCTAAATAGCTAAATCTGAGTTGACCCTTGTACTTTTTTTAGTCTCTATGCACACTGACACTCCAACACTCACTTCATTTGCTCACACACACACACAACATGCACACACATTTATACTGACTCTACATACACGCACACACACTCACATAGATTCATCATATACGCTGCTGCTACTCTGTTTATCATATATCCTGATGCCTCGTCACCTTACCCCTATACATACATGTTGGGTGATTAGGCCTGGTTCGCAGTCGGCATTCCAATTCATCCCAAAGGTGTTCGATGGGGTTGAGGTCAGGGCTCTGTGCAGGCCAGTCAAGTTCTTCCACACAGATCTCGACAAAACATTTCTGTATGGACCTCGCTTTGTGCACAGGGGCATTGTCATGCTGAAACAGGAAAGGGCCTTCCCCAAGCTGTTGCCACAAAGTTGGAAGCACAGAATCGTCTAGAATGTCATTGAATGCTGTAGCGTTAAGATTTACCTTCCCTGGAATTAAGGGGCCTTGCACGAACCATGAGAAACAGCCCCAGACCATTATTCCTCCTCCACCAAACTTTAGAGTTGGCACTATGCATTGGGTCAGGTAGCGTTCTCCTGCCATCCGCCAAACCCAGATTCGTCCGTCAGACTGCCAGATGGTGAAGCGTGAATCATCACTCCAGAGAATGCGTTTCCACTGCTCCAGATTCCAATGGCGGCGAGCTTTACACCACTCCAGCCGACGCATTGCGCATAGTGATCTTAGGCTTGTGTGTGGCTGCTCGGCCATGGAAACCAATTTCATGAAGCTCCCGACGAACAGTTCTTGTACTGACCTTGCTTCCAGAAGCAGTTTGGAACTTGGTAGTGAGTGTTGCAACCGAGTTCAGACGATTTTTATGCGCTATGCGCTTCAGCACTCTGTGGTCCCGTTCTGTGAGCTTGTGTGGCCTACCACTTCACGGCTGAGCCGTTGTTGCTCCTAGACGTTTCCACTTCACAATAACAGCACTTACAGTTGACCGGATCAGCTCTAGCAGGGCATACATTTTATGAACTGATTTGTTGGAAAGGTGTTATCTTATGACGGTGCCACGTTGAAAGTTACTGAGCTCTTCAGTAAGGCCATTCTACTGCCAATGTTTGTCTATGGAGATTGCATGGCTCTATGCTCAATTGTATACACCTGTCAGCAACGGGTGTGGCTGAAATAGCCGAATACACCTATTTGAAGGGGTGTCCATATACTTTTGTATATATAGTGTATCTAGCTCTATCAGTCCAGTATCCCTGCAAATTGTAAATATGGTATTGGAACTGACCCTGTATATAGCTTCTTACTTTCTCATGTTTCTCATATGTGTTTTTGTTTTACCTTATGTTATTTTTAGTGTTAGGTTTAGAGCTTGCAAGAAAAGCATGTGACGGTAAAACGACCACTTGAGTATCTGGTCAATATAATGGATAATCTGTGGTTGTCTGTTTGTTTACCTACCCAGAATGCCACTGTACCATGCCGTGTGACCTTGTAGTTGTTGGAGCAGAGAGAGAGAGAGAGAGAAATGTTGGCATCCGTTGCCCACTTGTTCTCGCCTGCCGGTGATGATGCAGGCCCCTTATCTTGGGTTGGGTGGAAGTCCAGGGTGATGCACAAAACAACTTTAGGCAGGAGGGGATTGATTGTCTCTGCTTTAACCAAGAAGCTTGATATTGCAAGCTAGCAAGGTAGCATACCAAATGCATAGCTGGAGCTCTGAACTAAGGGCTGGGGCATCAGCCTCCCAGTCACGATTTCAAGCAGAAATCATGTGTGACATCTGTCTCTAGAGGTTTGAATGACTGCAGTTAATTAGTGCTTCAAAATACAGCTGTGTGCCGGAGTCTGGCCTTGTGGTAGTGCTGCCGACTCCGGACTACAACATGCCCTTTGTACCATGGGTTCAAACCCCGCCTACGCCTTCATATCTGTATTCCTTTACCTGTCTGTCTTCCCTTTTCGTTTGTATTTGATACACTGCCGATTTTGCAGGTTTTCCTACTTACAAAGCATGTAGAGGTCTATAATTTTTATCATAGGTACACTTCAACTGTGAGAGACGGAATCTAAAACAAAAATCCAGAAAATCACATTGTATGATTTTTAAGTAATTAATTTTACATTTTATTGCATGACATACAGTGAGGGAAAAAAGTATTTGATCCCCTGCTGATTTTGTACGTTTGCCCACTGACAAAGACATGATCAGTCTATAATTTTAATGGTAGGTTTATTTGAACAGTGAGAGACAGAATAACAACATAAAAATCCAGAAAAACGCATGTCAAAAATGTTATAAATTGATTTGCATTTTAATGAGGGAAATAAGTATTTGACCCCTCTGCAAAACATGACTTAGTACTTGGTGGCAAAACCCTTGTTGGCAATCACAGAGGTCAGACGTTTCTTGTAGTTGGCCACCAGGTTTGCACACATCTCAGGAGGGATTTTGTTCCACTCCTCTTTGCAGATCTTCTCCAAGTCATGAAGGTTTCGAGGCTGACGTTTGGCAACTCAAACCTTCAGCTACCTCCACAGATTTTCTATGGGATTAAGGTCTGGAGACTGGCTAGGCCACTCCAGGACCTTAATGTGCTTCTTCTTAAGCCACTCCTTTGTTGCCTTGGCCGTGTGTTTTGGGTCATTGTCATGCTGGAATACCCATCCACAACCCATTTTCAATGCCCTGGCTGAGGGAAGGAGGTTCTCACCCAAGATTTGACGGTACATGGCCCCGTCCATCGTCCCTTTGATGCGGTGAAGTTGTCCTGTCCCCTTAGCAGAAAAACACCCCCAAAGCATAATGTTTCCACCTCCATGTTTGACGGTGGGGATGGTGTTCTTGGGGTCATAGGCAGCATTCCTCCTTCTCCAAACCCGGCGAGTTGAGTTGATGCCAAAGAGCTCGATTTTGGTCTCATCTGACCACAACACTTTCAGCCAGTTCTCCTCTGAATCATGCAGATGTTCATTGGCAAACTTCAGACGGCCCTGTATATGTGCTTTCTTGAGCAGGGGGACCTTGCGGGCGCTGCAGGATTTCAGTCCTTCACGGCGTAGTGTGTTACCAATTGTTTTCTTTGTGACTATGGTCCCAGCTGCCTTGAGATCATTGACAAGATCCTCCCGTGTAGTTCTGGGCTGATTCCACACCGTTCTCATGATCATTGCAACTCCACGAGGTGAGATCTTGCATGGAGCCCCAGGCCGAGGGAGATTGACAGTTATTTTGTGTTTCTTCCATTTGCGAATAATCGCACCAACTGTTGTCACCTTCTCATCAAGCTGCTTGGCGATGGTCTTGTAGCCCATTCCAGCCTTGTGTAGGTCTACAATCTTGTCCCTGACATCCTTGGAGAGCTCTTTGGTCTTGGCCATGGTGGAGAGTTTGGAATCTGATTGATTGATTGCTTCTGTGGACAGGTGTCTTTTATAAAGGTAACAAACTGAGATTAGGAGCACTCCCTTTAAGAGTGTGCTCCTAATCTCAGCTCGTTACCTGTATAAAAGACACCTGGGAGCCAGAAATCTTTCTGATTGAGAGGGGGTCAAATACTTATTTCCCTCATTAAAATGCAAATCAATTTATAACATTTTTGACATGCGTTTTTCTGGATTTTTTTGTTGTTATTCTGTCTCTCACTGTTCAAATAAACCTACCATTAAAATTATAGACTGATAATTTCTTTGTCAGTGGGCAAATGTACAAAATCAGCAGGGGATCAAATACTTTTTTCCCTCACTGTAAGTATTTGATACATCAGAAAAGCAGAACTTAATATTTGGTACAGAAACCTTTGTGTGCAATTACAGAGATCATATGTTTCCTGTAGGTCTTGACCAGGTTTGCACACAATGCAGCAGGGATTTTGGCCCACTCCTCCATACAGACCTTCTCCAGATCCTTCAGGTTTCGGGCTGTCGCTGGGCAATACGGACTTTCAGCTCCCTCCAAAGATGTTATATTGGGTTCAGGTCTGGAGACTGGCTAGGCCACTCCAGGACCTTGAGATGCTTCTTACGGAGCCACTCCTTAGTTGCCCTGGCTGTGTGTTTCGGGTCATTGTCATGCTGGAAGACCCAGCCACGGCCCATCTTCAATGCTCTGAGGGAAGGAGGTTGTTGGCCAAGACCTCACGATACATGGCCCCATCCATCCTCCCCTCAATACGGTGCAGTCATCCTGTCCCCTTTGCAGAAAAGCATCCCCAAAGAATGATGTTTCCACTTCCATGCTTCACGGTTGGGATGGTGTTCTTGGGGTTGTACTCATCCTTCTTCTTCCTCCAAACACGGCGAGTGGAGTTTAGACCAAAAAGCTATATTTTTGTCTCATCAGACCACATGACCTTCTCCCATTCCTCCTCTGGATCATCCAGATGGTCATTGGCAAACTTCAGAAGGGCCTGGATATGCGCTGGCTTGAGCAGGGGGACCTTGCGTGCGCTGCAGGATTTTAATCCATGACGGCGTAGTGTGTTACTAATGGTTTTCTTTGAGACTGTGGTCCCAGCTCTCTTCAGGTCCTGCCGTGTAGTTCTGGGCTGATCCCTCACCTTCCTCATGATCATTGATGCCCCGCGAGGTGAGATCTTGCATGGAGCCCCAGACCGAGGGTGATTGACCGTCATCTTGAACTTCTTCCATTTTCTAATAATTGCGCCAACAGTTGTTGTCTTCTCACCAAGCTGCTTGCCTATTGTCCTGTAGCCCATCCCAGCCTTGTGCAGGTCTACAATTTTATCCCTGATGTCCTTACACAGCTCTCTGATCTTGGCCATTGTGGAGAGGTTGGAGTCTGTTTGATTGAGTGTGTGGACAGGTGTCTTTTATACAGGTAATGAGTTCAAACAGGTGCAGTTAATTCAGGTAATGAGTGGAGAACAGGAGGGCTTCTCAAAGAAAACAGGTCTGTGAGAGCTGGAATTCTTACTGGTTGGTAGGTGATCAAATACTTATGTCATGCAATAAAATGCAAATTAATTACTTAAAAATCATACAATGTGATTTTCCGTCTCTCACAGTTGAAGTGTACCTATGATAAAAATTACAGACCTCTACATGCTTTGTAAGTAGGAAAACCTGCAAAATCGGCAGTGTATCAAATACTTGTTCTCCCCACTGTATACTGAACAAAAATATAAATGCAACATGCAACAATTTCAAAGATTTTACTGAGTTAAAGTTCATATAAAGAAATCAGTCAATTGAAATAAATAAATTAGGCCCTAATCTATGGATTTCACATGAATGGAAATACAGATATGCATATTTTGGTCACAGATACCTTAAAAGAATGGGCCTCACAATGGGCCTCAGGATCTCGTCACTGTACAGTATCTCTGTGCATTCAAACTGCCATCGATAAAGTGACAAAACTGCACAATTTAGAGTGACCTTTTATTGTTCCCAGCACAAGGTGCACCTCTGTAATGATCATGCTGTTTAATCAGCTTCTTGATATGCCACAACTGTCAGCTGGATCTTGGCAAAGGAGAAATGCTCACTAACAGGGATGTAAGCATTTGTGTCAACATTTGAGAGAAATAAGCTTTTTGTGCATATGGAACATTTCTGGGATCTTTTATGTCAGCTCATTAAACATGGGACCAACACTTGATAATTTTGTTCAGTGTATATTTAAAAATGCATCTGAAAGAGTGATTCCAGGTAGGCACATCTGGCCCTGACACCTCAGGATTTTCACTGTCACTGGGCAAGGACAAACACTCAGTGGAAGTATATCTCTCCTCTCATCCTCTCGCACTGATTGAAGTGTACTGTGGTGAAAAAGATGTCAGAAAGAGGGAGATGAAGGGAGAGAAGTGATGGAGGGAGAGCAGAGGAGTAAAGTAGAAAGGGCAGAAAAGGATAATGGACATGAGAGGAGGGAGGTATCATTCGGAACACATCAGAGTCGTGGCTTGATACTCCCGGTCTCAGGATTGCTGCGATTGCTCCCAGGATTCTCTGTGCAAACAGTGTGACACTCGTGCAATGCACTCCCTTGAGTGCTAGGAGAGAATGCATCGGGTGGAAGGAGGAGAGGGAAGGTGGGGAGGAGGAATGGGAAAATGAAGGACAGAGGTGGGAGGAGGGGAAGAAGGGAGGAGAGGGAATGAAGGGGGTGGGAGAATGGAATACGTGGGAGGGAGGGATGTGAAATGGTTGCACTGAAATAAACTACATCAAAGCTTCCCATCTGTCTTTTCCTAGATCCTTTGAGTTCATCCATCCTAGTCCTTGTCCACAATTCACTATGAGAATCAAAGACATGTATCTTAAAATGACTTGGTTCCATACACTTTGCGAAAGCCACTTCACATTGATTGAACTTGAATGTAATAAATGTATCTTCTTAAAGATTGATTCAGCTTTCCGCTGTCTTTCAGGGGGAGGAGGAGAGCTTCACTCTGAAGTCCTGCACAAGGCGGAAGACGGACTCTATAGAGAAGAGGTTCTGTTTCGACGTGGAGGCTGTAGACAGGTGAGTCAATGCTGCTGGCTAATAGCTTGTTACCCATTACAACCACATGGTGGTGCTCACGAGTCATGCTGGGCTGAGGCTGTGGCTGACTGACTGTGGGTCGGAGCTCGACACAGAGGATCTTAATAGGGATTGGCAAGCGGTGGATGTTCGATGACAAACACTAAGTGAGATATCTGCCAGCTCTCCAGCCCAGTCGTAGAAGAGTGTTCTCTGACTGCATATAGAGCAGCAGAGCCAGTGAATCCCTAACTCTAACGTTAGCTTTACTGTGGCCACTTCAGCCACAGATCTCCCTCCTCCTCCTACATTGGCCCATTCCTTCACTCAACCCTCGTAATTTATTCATGGTGTTTGTTTGTCCTCTGCCCAGAGTGTTTGAGTGTGTGTATGTGCGTGTGTTTGTGTGTTCGCTAGATACAGTGCACTGTTGTTGTTAGCAGCATGAAAGTAAAAGCTGGCCGCAACATGCTTTAGCACGCAAAGGCATCGCAAAGACATAACTTGAGGGTGAGTGTTAGTGAGAGTGTGCGTTATGGTGTCTGTGTGTGCGCGTGCGTGCGTATGTGTGTGTGTTTGTGTGTAGGCACGTGTGTGTGTGTGTGTGTATCAGTGTGTGTGTGGTTTTAATGGAGGACTGTGTTGACAGCTGAAGGTGAGCCTGCTTCCAGGTCCAGGTGAAATATGGTAAAGCTGGCCAGAGATGAGCGTAGCTTAATTTGAGTTTTGGATAGAGCCAGGGTGGATTAATAGAGGTCTCAGTCTGTGTTGGGATGGTTGTGGTGGGAGCAGCAGATTGACTTGATGGGGATGATGTTTTATGATGTCAAAGGATCCAAAGAGGGTGGAAAACCCCCTTATGTGGCAGTGATTTTCTTCTGTCAATCACTGCTACATGGTATGTTGCATTTGAAGAAAGACTGATCTTTGTGCGTGCGTGTGTGTGTGTGTGTTGCAGGTCAGGGGTGATCACCATGCAGGCTCTATCGGAGGAAGACCGCAGGCTGTGGATGGAAGCTATGGATGGGAGAGAACCGGTACGTTGCCAGGGTTACACACTCATCCTGTGCGTGTGTGTGCGTGTACTCATATGCGTATAGCCCACCACAGGGATTCCAGGCATAGCTGACTAAGTAATCTTCAACTCCTTTAGGAAGCCACTTCAGTCAGTAGCAACTTCCATTGATGTCAATGTACCATACTACTCACCAGGCAGGCAGTGTACAATACTGTTTATTACAGCATAGTGTACATGGGCTTATGTAAGTACAGCTTGTGTTCAGTTCACAGATAGGTGTTTGTGGCTGGTGGTGGTGGTTGATGGCAGTAACGCTAAGCTGTGTAACCGTGGTAACTGGGTGTCTCTGTTCCTTCCAGGTCTATAACTTAAACAGAGACAGCCAGAGCGAAAGCAGTAAGTGACACATTGGTATTAATTTTCTTTACATTTACATTTTAGTCATTTAGCAGACGCTCTTATCCAGAGCGACTTATAGGAGCAATTAGGGTTAAGTGCCTTGCTTAAGGGTACATCGACAGATTTTTCACCTAGTCGGCTCGGGGATTAGAACCAGCGACCTTTCGGTTACTGGCACAACACTCTTACCCACAAAGCTACCTGCCACCCCTTTACTCTACCATCTGTCCATATGAATGCACACTGATAATTGATGGGATTCATTCACTTCTCTACCTCTGTTTCTCCCTCTATTTTTCTCTCTACCTATCTCTCTTCCTCCCACTCTTTCTCTCTTTACCTTTCTCGTGCTCATCCTCTCCCTCTCCCACTGTCCATCACTACCTCTCTCCCTCCCCTCCCCCTCCCCTCTCTCGCCATCTCTCTCCATCTCTCAGTGGCCCAGCTGGATGTGGTTGGCTTCAACGTTGTGAAGAAGTTCATCTATGCTGTGGAGACCAGAGGTAATGAACTAAGGCTTGGCTGCTTACAGGCTTCACAGCTCTCTAATACTACTGTATTGTGAATCTGGTGTCACTGGTCACTCTTACAGGTCCTATCAAATCTTTATATTGCTCTGTGCTGTTCCGTTCTGTCCCACAGGCATTGATGAGCAGGGCCTGTACAGGATTGTTGGAGTAAACTCCAGGGTGCAGAAACTCCTGGGTCTCGCCATGGGTAAGACAGAGAGATAATGGAGCAGAGAAAGAGAGAGAGAGAGATTGAGAGATTGAGAGTCCTTGCCGCATAAACAAATCCAAACAGGTATATATTTCGGGGCAAGATTGAATCGAACTTATTTAACATTTATGCAGTAGTTTGTTTGCACAACCTCCACCCACGCACACACACACCTGTCTTATTCTGATAGCGGGAATGTACTGCTCCTACTGTTAGGGGAGTCTATACTGTAGTAGAAAACAGCAGAAAACCATCCTGTGGATTTATGTGAATAGCTATGGGGAATAGGCAATTTATGCAACTGCATAAATAATGCAAAACAAGTTAAATTACTGTAGATATACTGTAGCTCTGAGACTGACAGACAGAGAGATATGGGAGGAGGAGACCATAGAACTGGTAGAGGACAGGATGAGAGAATATACTGAGAAGTGGAAAATAGAATACCATAGATAGGTTCAATGACAAACTTCTGAAATCACAAAGCTCCTCAAATGACAGATGATGACATCTATCCTCTCCATCTGACAGATCCCAAAACCTGTGCTGACGTGGAGCTGGACAGTACAGAATGGGAGATCAAGACCATCACCAGTGCAATCAAGTACTACCTCAGGTACAGTACTGTGAATCCATTGCCCAGGTCCAGTCATGGAAATGACTAAAGGTAGTAAAGAAACACAGGCTCTCTATGAGTACTGCCGTCAGTGTGTACAATAACGCTGCACTGAGTGAGAGGGAACTGAGAGCATGTGGTTGTCCAGTATGGCCCTGGCCTTCTGAGTGGAGCTAGAGACAGTGTCTAGCTGTGCTCCCTCACCTGAAAGATCTACGGGCCTATTGATCCAGCCCTCCTTCCACAACCACCCAGGGCCCATTGATCTCTATGGGAGCCATTTAACTGACCCCCACCAGGCCCCTGGCCTGAACACTACAGGATACAGAGCCATAGGGCTCGCTCAGGCAGGGAGAGGAAAGAGGTATGGGGAGAGAGGGGAAAGGGGGATGGGGAGAGGTGTGGGGGAGCGGAGAGGGGCAAGAAGAAAAGGGCAGAGGGGAGGCGAGTGTAAAGGGGAGAGGGGAGACGAGTGTAAAGGGGAGAGGGGAATTGGAGGGCAGAGGAAAAGGATCGAGGACCATGGGAGAGAGCAGAGGGGGTAGTATAAAGAAGAGGAGATGAGAGAGAAGGAGGGGTAGAGGGCTAGGACTGGGGAGACCCACACACAGAAACAGCCCCGTTTTCTGCCTGCCTAATGGAGAGGAAAATTAGCCTGATGGGTGGAGGGCCACGACTCTCTGCCTACCTGCCGCTGTGCCCATTGACTCATTGACTCTCTGTATCTTCTCTCCTCAGAATGCTGCCCGCGCCCCTTATGACTTATCAGTATCAAAGGAGCTTCATCAAGGCAGCCAGTGAGTATTTTCTCAGTTGTCTTTTCTCTCTCTCTCTCTCTCTCAATTCAATTCAATTTCAATTTAAGGGCTTTATTGGCATGGGAAACGTGTGTTAACATTGCCAAAGCAAGTGAAGTAGATAGTAAACAAAAGTGAAATAAACAATAAATATTAACAGTAAACATTACACTCAGAAGTTCCAGAAGAATAAAGACATTTCAAATGTCATATTATGTATATATACAGTGTTGTAACAATGTGCAAATAGTTAAAGTACAAATGGGAAAATAAATAAACATAAATATGGGTTGTATTTACAATGGTGTTTGTTCTTCACTGGTTGCCCTTTTCTTGTGGCAAAAGGTCACTAATCTTGCAGCTGTGATGGCACACTGTGGTTTTTCACCCAGTAGATAAGGGAGTTTATCAAAATTGGGTTTGTTTTCGAATTCTTTGTGGATCGCTGTAATCTGAGGGAAATATGTGTCTCTAATATGGTCATACATTTGGCAGGAGGTTAGGAAGTGCAGCTCAGTTTCCACCTCATTTTGTGGGCAGTGTGCACATAGCCTGTCTTCTCTTGAGAGCCAGGTCTGCCTACGGCGGCCTTTCTCAATAGCAAGGCTATGCTCACTGAGTCTGTACATAGTCAAAGCTTTCCTTAAGTTTGGGTCAGTCACAGTGGTCAGGTATTCTGCCACTGTGTACTCTCTGTTTAGGGCCAAATAGCATTCTAGTTTGCTCAGTTTTTTTGTTTGTTCTTTCCAATGTGTCAAGTAATTCTCTTTTTGTTTTCTCATGATTTGGTTGGGTCTAATTGTGTTGTTGTTGTTGTTGTTGTCCTGGGGCTGTGTGGGGTCTGTTTGTGTTTGTGAACAGAGCCCCAGGACCAGCTTACTTAGGGGACTCTTCTCCAAGTTCATCTCTCTGTTGGTGATGGCTTTGTTATGGAAGGTTTGGGAATCGCTTCCTTTTAAGTGGTTATAGAATTTAACAGCTCTTTTCTGGATTTGGATAATTAGCGGGTATTGGCCTAATTCTGCTCTGCATGCATTATTTGGTGTTTTACGTTGTACACGGAGGATGTTTTTGCAGAATTCTGCATGCAGAGTCTCAATTTGGTGTTTGTCCCATTTTGTGAATTCTTGGTTGGTGAGCGGACCCCAGACCTCACAACCATAAAGGGCAATGGGTTCTATAACTGATTCAAGTATTTTTAGCCAGATCCTAATTGGTATGTCAAATTTTATGTTCCTTTTGATGGCATAGAAGGCCCTTCTTGCCTTGTCTCTCAGATCGTTCACAGCTTTGTGGAAGTTACCTGTGGCGCTGATGTTTAGGCCGAGGTATGTATAGTTTTTTGTGTGCTCTAGGGCAACGGTGTCTAGATGGAATTTGTATTTGTGGTCCTGGCAACTGGACCTTTTTTGGAACACCATTATTTTTGTCTTCCTGAGATTTACTGTCAGGGCCCAGGTCTGACAGAATCTGTGCAGAAGATCTAGGTGCTGCTGTAGGCCCTCCTTGGTTGGTGACAGAAGCACCAGATCATCAGCAAACAGAAGACATTTGACTTCAGATTCTAGTAGGGTGAGGCCGGGTGCTGCAGACTGTTCTAGTGCCCTCGCCAATTCGTTGATATATATGTTGAAGAGGGTGGGGCTTAAACTGCATCCCTGTCTCACCCCACGGCCCTGTGGAAAGAAATGTGTGTGTTTTTTTGCCAATTTTAACCGCACACTTGTTGTTTGTGTACATGGATTTTATAATGTCGTATGTTTTTCCCCCAACCCCACTTTCCATCAATTTGTATAGCAGACCCTCATGCCAAATTGAGTCAAAAGCTTTTTTGAAATCAACAAAGCATGAGAAGACTTTGTCTTTGTTTTGTTTGGTTTGTTTGTCAATTAGGGTGTGCAGGGTGAATACGTGGTCTGTCGTACGGTAATTTGGTAAAAAGCCAATTTGACATTTGCTCAGTACATTGTTTTCACTGAAGAAATGAACTAGTCTGCTGTGAATGATAATGCAGAGGATTTTCCCAAGGTTGCTGTTGACGCATATCCCACGGTAGTTATTGGGGTCAAATTTGTCTCCACTTTTGTGGATTGGGGTGATCAGTCCTTGGTTCCAAATATTGGGGAAGATGCCAGAGCTAAGGATGATGTTAAAGAGTTTAAGTATAGCTAATTGAAATTTGTGGTCTGTATATTTTATCATTTCATTGAGGATACCATCAACACCACAGGACTTTTTGGGTTGGAGGGTTTGTATTTTGTCCTGTAGTTCATTCAATGTAATTGGAGAATCCAGTGGGTTCTGGTAGTCTTTAATAGTTGATTCTAAGATTTGCATTTGATCATGTATATTTTTTTGCTGTTTGTTCTCTGTTATAGGGGCAAAAAGATTGGAGAAGTGGTTTACCCATACATCTCCGTTTTGGATAGATAGCTCCTCATGTTGTTGTTTGTTTAGTGTTTTCCAATTTTCCCAGAAGTGGTTAGAGTCTATGGATTCTTCAATTACATTGAGCTGATTTCTGACATGCTGTTCCTTCTTTTTCCGTAGTGTATTTCTGTATTGTTTTAGTGATTCACCATAGGCTCAGGTTTTCTGGGTCTCTATGTTTTTGGTTGGATAGGTTTCTCAATTTCTTTCTTAGGTTTTTGCATTCTTCATCAAACCATTTATCACTGTTGTTACTTTTCTTTGGTTTTCTGTTAGAGATTTTTAGATTTGATAGGGAAGCTGAGAGGTCAAATATACTGTTTAGGTTTTCTACTGCCAAGTTTACACCTTCACTATTACAGTGGAACGTTTTGTCCAGGAAGTTGTCTAGAATGGCTTGAATTTGTTGTTGCCTAATTGTTTTTTGGTAGGTTTCAACACTACTTTCCTTCCATCTATAGCATTTCTTAATATTATTCAGTTCCTTTGGCTTTGATGCCTCATGATTGAGTATTGCTCTGTTCAAGTAGACTGTGATTTTGCTGTGGTCTGATAGGGGTGTCAGTGGTCTGACTGTGAACGCTCTGAGAGACTCTGGGTTGAGGTCAGTGATAAAGTAGTCTACAGTACTACTGCCAAGAGATGAGCTATAGGTGTACCTACCAAAGGAGTCCCTTCGAAGCCTACCATTGACTATGTACATACCCAGTGTGCGACAGAGCTGCAGGAGTCGTGACCCATTTTTGTTGGTTATGTTGTCGTAGTTGTGCCTAGGGGGGCATATGGGGGAGGGAATGCTGTCACCTCCAGGTAGGTGTTTGTCCCCCTGTGTGCTGAGGGTGTCAGGTTCTTGTCCAGTTCTGGCATTTAGGTCGCCACAGACTAGTACATGTCCCTGGGTCTGGAAATTATTGATTTCCCCCTCCAGGATGGAGAAGCTGTCTTCATTAAAGTATGGGGATTCTAGTGGGGGGATATAGGTAGCACACAGGAGGACAGTTTTCTCTGTTGAGATAATTTCCTTTAGAATTTCTAACCAAATGTAAAATGTTCCTGTTTTGATTAATTGAATAGAGTGAGTTAGGTCTGCTCTATACCAAATTAGCATACCCCCTGAGTCCCTTCTCTGTTTCACACCTGGTAGTTTGGTGGATGGGACTACCAGCTCTCT